TTATTTTTTTTTAAATTCTTATCACTTTGCATTTTTTAAAATTCTTATGTCCTCTTTAAATTCTTACTTGACAGAATCACACTTTTTTAGACTTTAAAATTCTTGTTACTGTTGAAATCATAAACTTAATGACTGTTGAAATCATAAATCTAACAACTGTTGAAATCTCAAATATACCATTTTTTCTTTATATAAATTATGGTTCTACACATGGAATAACGACGTAGGAATAGTGAGAATATTTTAATTAGTCCAGAGGCATTTAAATGTTTTTGATTATGTAAGGGAAGATTATCTTTTTTTTCAGTATTGTTTGTCTTATAGTGAAGGCTGACTCTCTTATTAAACAGCACAATAACAAGAAGTACAATGAAAATTTGAATAATTAGTTAGCAGTATTAAGTAGTTAGTGATAGGCTTTAGGCTTTGTAGTTGCAGTGGCAATACGAGTATCTTGTTTTTGTTTATTGCAACGAATTTTGTTTTCTGTTTGGCTCTAATCTAAATAGCAGTCAAAGACCTTATAAGATACTTAACATTTATAGCATGGTATTATGAAAATCGCACAATGTTACCGAAATGGAATTCGGAGAAAGAAACCTACAAAAAGCAAATGAATGGTATAAAATATATTAAACAACATACGAATATTCAGATTCTTATAAAATATATTAATATTTTTCTTGCTTAATAAATTGAAAAAAAACATCCATAGGTATTCCATCATTAATATTTTTAATTTAGTTAACTTTATTCTTTCTATTAGCAGTTTACGAATGTGCATCTGAAATATTAACATTGATAATAACTTGAAAAAAAATGTTGAATGAAAAATATTTTTCAGTTACCATACATTCCATATAGTGAATTTAGAAATATAAAACTATTGGCAACAGGTGGATTCGCTATATTGTATCTCGCGGAATGGTTTGACAAAAGTCACCGAAATTTACAAATGTATGTGCGATTAAAATACCCAAAACAGAAAATCAAGCAGAATACGTCAGAGATTAAAGCGTATTGTAAAATTGGGAAACCCATCCATCATTTTTAAATTTTATGGAATTTCAAAAGATCTCAATAATAGATATGCTTTAGTTCTGGAATATGTAAGCAAACAATAATTTAATGAAAATCTCAAAGAAATGTTTAAAATGAATTGGAAAGGAAAAATTAAGATATTACATTGCATAAGATTTACATAGTGGAAACATTTTACAGAATGGCATTGACAATGCGTATATTGCAGATCTAGGACTTATCTCATATTCGAAAAGAAGTGAAGAAATCTAGATGTCTTACCTTACCTCGCGTCAGAAGGTTTAGAAAAAAAGCAATGTTCAGGAGTGATCATGACTATACTTGTTGGCAAAACCCGGACAAATCCCAAACCCCAAAATATAATTGTTATTTTTAAAAAATTGAACCAAAAAAAGTAAACTTAAAATTATGCAAATATATTATATATAGCTATAAATATATATCTGATTTGTTTAAATGAAGATTATTAATAAAGTTTTTGAGATATAAGTTTGCCAGAGTTTGGGATTTGGTCGCGCCCAAACCCAAACTATAATAGTTTTGGATTTTGCTAACATGTATAATCATGACAGAAATAGCAAACAGACAAAGAGCACACCTTGTAAAATAATTGTAAACCTGAATTCATTGATGGAATTCCTGATTATTATGTTCATTTGGCCAGTCGATGCATGGTCATAGATCCGCAAAAACGACCTACTATCAACGAAATTTGAAATTTAGTGGACGAATAGGACAAAGTCATAAAATATTCAATCGATAACAAAATAAAAAATCAATTTTTAGAATCAGGTAAGATTATTTCGAAATCACAGATAAATGTACAAAAGTGCTATATACAAGTAAGCTTATAAGCGATGTAGAATGTAAAACCGAATTGCAAAGTCTAAATTATAATTTATAAGCGATTTAAATACGTAACGATATAAACAAACCTTGTAATTTAGATTTATAAGAATTAAAATTAAAATATATGTTGAAGCTGTTTGAATAAAATTTCGATAATATCTCTATATTATACCAATCACGATAATAAATACAAATATACAGTATATCCTTTTTAAATTTACCATATCAGATATAGAAATCTGCAAAATTTTATGAATTGCCACGTAAAAATAACAATCCCTTAGATTCTTCATTATATATTGTTTTCTAGCATAATATTCATTAGTATATGAAATAAATTTGTATAAAATTTTTAAATTTTTGGCATTTACAAACTTTAAATGAAGACATCTTCATTTTTGATATTTCAAATTCTACATATAAGTAGAATTAATAAAACAAAATTTAAACAAGTAATCTATACTATTTATTCTATTTTTACTAAAACATCGTATTTTGATATGATAAATAAACCTATGCGGCAAAAAAATTTTACATATAACGATAGTTTTAAGCTTTGAAAATTATTGGTTTTCTTATGAAATATGTAAAATATGGATCTAATACTTTTGATCTAGTTAGATCAACTTTTGAATATGGTGACTTTTATTACGATCCAATACTTTATGTAACTCCATAAAAAATTAAATAATCTTAAAATCTGCAAATATATTATATATATATATTATATATATATTATATAAATAGCAATAAGAATATATACTATTTACTTAAAATAAAGATTATTAATAAAGTTTTTGAGATATTAATTTGGCCAGTGTTTGGGATTCCCAAGTATAGTAGTTTTGAAATTTGCCAACAAGTAAAGAATAGTTGGAATTTTCTCCTCAATATCGGTACGCATCTGGACTAGGAGTTGCTTATGACATTGATATTTCTGAATTCACTACAATCTAAAGGAGGACAATTACGCGGGAAACAACTAGAATATTTTCATAATAGAATAATAGAATAATTATATAAATGAATAACTCGAGGAGACAAACAATGATAAATCAAAACAATCAAGGAATCTTTTTAAAAAAATAAATATGATTGTTTTTATAAACAGCATAGATAGTTCATTTTAATTATAGTTTTTTTGAAACTTTATATGAATTAGTAAAAAGTTCAGTGAATAAATTTTACTTAGCAGAAAATATTTTAAGCGGGTCAAATGTGAAATAATTTATAGTTATTTTGTTGTTACGATCAGATAAACAATTTCATTTAAATATTTCCATTATAACTCTTTATTTTCAGAAAATACGGATCAACTTTTTTACCAACGAATTATTATTTTATTCATTACACAAACAATCAATTACAGAAATATCAACAAAGACCTAAACCTAGTGTGACGATATTTAAATATTAATGAATTGCTCAATTATCAATGTAATTTTTATTTTGATTGACTATAATAAATGAGCATCGTTACATTGATAATAACACTTGAGAAACTTTGATTATGTCATAATTTCATATTCGAATTTTCATTATAAATATAATCGGAGAGGTAGGGATGGAAAATGCTTTTTATTACGTAATTAAAACCAGGAGTGATTATGTTCTTAATATATTTAAACCAAATTTAACTAGTCAGACTTTTAATCATCTGCTTTAAATCGGTTTAACCCTGTTTTTTTTTCATCAAAACCCACTACGTAAATCACGTTAGGGTGAAATCCATGTTGACGACCTTGAACAGGCTTCTCAATCGTAACCTACAATTCGGCTTAGTCGAAGAGGCGTGTTATATTTGGCGAGTGGATAATTTATGATTGTAGGTATTATTATATAATGAATGCAGGATATTATTATTAGGGACAAACATAAGGCACGTTATACACTCTATTCGTGATATATCGCTTATATTACTTATATCGTATATACTAATTATGCTGATTATAATGTTTATACTGATTATATATCATATCCCACTGATTCCCCTTATTACACTGATATCCATAATAAACCCGATACAATGCACTAGTGCAATTATTTCTAACTCCCTTTAAGCAACTCAAGCGCCTAGTTTCTGATAGTCGAATTTTTATTAAAGAAAAAATACTATAAAATATGAGCCACATCAAAAAGAGTAATCACGTATAGGCTTCTAAATTAGAGGTTGGAATCGGTTTTAATAATTCGAGTTTATCCCGTGAATTTTGGGATATTTTAGAAATTTATCCAATTAAATATTAATAAATTCTAATATATCACAAGACACATGTGATAAACCCGAATTATTAAAACCGGTTCCAATCTAAATATGTATAAGTTATATAATTTCGTATATATGAAATTTTGTTTTTTTTTAATTGAGATTTTATGAGCTGGTAGATATTTTTTTATTATAAAATTTTATAAATTTAAAATTTTATAATTGAAATTTTACTATATGACCCGACAGGCATTCTTTTATTGTAAAATTTTATAAAATTCAAAATTTATAACTTAAAGTTTTATGACCCGGCCGGGTTATGATTGGCCGAGAATCAGCCAATCAAACTAACAGCGTTTAAAATAAAATTTCTCTAGCCAATCAGATCACGAGATTATTAGGTGTAACGTAAAAGACGTGCAAAAAAATCAAAACACAGCTTAAATTTTTGCCTATGAAAATGCCTTCTGCGTACTAACAAAAAATTTTCCTCGGGAAATTTTACTATAACCACAGTCCTTAAAACCAAATACTAATTTATTGGTAGGATCCTATTTCTAAACTAATTGCAAAATGTTTTTTTTTTAGTGAAATTTTTTTAATGGGATCGCATAATGAGCGAAATTTTTTAGACTGGCCATAAATCAAACTTTACATTAACATGTGATCAGAAATTACATTGAAAATTACCTACCTAATAACTATAACTTTGATAGGATCACGGCCAAGAAAAACTTTTATCATGAAATTCATCCAATACATATTTGCAAAAGTTTACGTAAGTTTCAGAAAATCAAATTCATGTGATTTTGCATCATTTGATTTAATGTACGATTCTTACTGAAATTTTACATCCCTGACTAAATTCTTGCGTAATGCTTACGCACATCATGTGTTCTGTACTATGGGAAGAAGTTTAAAAATTGCAATAACGCGTAAGTCAAAAATTTAATTATTCTCTCGTTATGACCAAAAACAAAATATCTAAATACTTCAATCGTAAATATAGTAATTGGAACATAGTCGGCTTTTTAAGTGAATGTGACCTAGAACCGTTTGAGAGAAAAATAGACGAATACCTTAAAAGCCTTCAAAAGATTAAAGCAGAGAAAGGAATAAGGCAAAAAAAAGCAAGTCAACTTCTTGATCGATACCAGAAGGCTAGTAAAAATTTTTTAAGTATGGGTGGCGTGACGATCATAAGCCTCCTTGGCTTTTCGTCATTCAAGGCTCTTTGCCGAGCCACAAAACCAATGTTAGAGCGCAATTAACCTCTTTGGTTACTTGACGTTCAAGGCTCTTTGCTGATCTAACATTGGACCCATTGGGGTTGGGTGACCTCCTTGGTTACCCAATACTCAAATGGGATAGAAATCGAAGTATAAGCAAAAAATTTACTAATTTCTAAATCGTCTATGCTAGAATCCTAGGCCAGATCAAAAAATTGCAAAAGCTTGGGAAAAAGAACGCACAAGCAAGCAAGTTCATTTTCACCAACCAATAAGTGGAACTGTAAAGGGGTCAATTAATACAGTTAATGGAACAATAAATGGGGGGAAAGTCGGAACTATCAATGAACAAGAAAATACTCTTCTTAGAAGAACGTCAAGAAAAATAAACAAAGTGAGTTATACAGAAAACTCAAATAGACTAAGTAATACCAGCAAACGAACTTATGAAGAATTACCAGATGGCGAATCTGAGGTATGTAAGAAGTTGTTAATCAATATTTTCTGTTTTATCCATCACTAATTTTTAACATCTAGATATATGGTGATGAGGATGATGAGAGCGACGAGGATGACGAGAGTGACGATGATGACAATGAAGATGACAACGAGGATGATGATAAAGATGACTTCGAAGATGATAATGAAGATGGTGACGAATATGATAATGACAACGAGAAGACCAAAGAAAAACCGAAGTTGGAGAAAAGATTGATTGATGATTTTGTTTTGAGATTTAAAGCGATAAATACAGATGAAAAATGGAAACTTCCTTCAGATAGATATGTAGAAGATGTCTTGTATGATTGGGCAGTGACTCATCGTTCTGAAACGTGAATATTCTACACTCATCGTATTGATCATATTGGTTAATAATGAACTAACGATTTCTTTATTTAAACTTCTATTAAGACTCGCACACTCCTTTATACTCGATACAGACTGTCAAGAAATCATGGATCTGTTTGATCTGGAGGAAAAAGAAATAATTATGAATACCAATAAAAAATCTTTTCCAAGTGTACAAGATGATATAAAAAAAAATGTCATGAAATATCATAAGGTATTTTGTTTGATAAAATTGTTCGAATTAAGAAATTTTATTAATAAATCTTCTAAATTTCTACAGAAAAACGTCAGCGAACTTCGGAAAATCGTTATGGAACCATATTTGAAAGATGAAGAGGTCTATAATCCAAAATTACATTATGATCTGGAATGGATTCACTTAGTTTTCAATAAATTGTAAGTTTTATTATTATGTATAATATTTCAATTCATGATTGATTTTTTTCTTTATCAATATAGTGTTATTGAATGGGAACAAGGAGTAAATGCACTAGCAGAAGATAATTTGGAAGCATGGATTGTGAGCCACGTATGGACCTTTATCATTGACATGGCATTAAAGGACATTGAAGAAACAAAAATTGGAAAGTACGTTATTAATGTTTAAGAGGTAAATCGCGGTTAAAGGGTATTTAATAGTAAAAATTGCTGGATGTTGATATGGTTTTTCTATAAGGTTGGGAGCAGCTAGCTTACAATGAAAAGGTTTTTTTATGCCAAATAAATCTTCCTTGAGTTTTTAACAAGTCATTCCGGTTCTAATTGGTTTGGTAGATTACGAGTTATTGACATTTTCTCCTTTATAACTATATGATTTTTACATAATGCAGAAATTTTTGGCATTCCAGAAAGTAATAGTAATTTTCTACCGATTTTTACTATGAAATTTATACCTTCAACTGCGTTCAACTACTTAAACAAAATTTATTATCGTATGTTTACAATATTAGTGACTAAATATATTTATTTTCTTTCCATTTCATAGATCAGATGGTGGTTCGTCTGCATCAAAAATGCGTAAAAACAAAAAACGAAAAGTTGGAAAAACAATTATTCGTGTAACAACCATTTAAATCTGTAATTTTATAATGTATAGATGTCCAAATTAATTTCCTTTTCTAATATTAATAGGGTAGAAAAATCGACATATTACTAAAATTTCGCAATAGCTCAAGAGAAATATTAGCTGGAGAAGTAGCAAGAACAGGCGACATTCATAATAAAAAATATCTAGGAGATAGAATAAAATTATTAAAACTTATGAAAGACATGCTTGATATAATAATTGAATCAATTCCGCCAACAACAATTGATAATTACAGGAGTCTTTGTACATTTGGAATACAACTTTTCAGTAAGTAAACATTATTCATATTCTATATTACTGTATTACATTAATTGGTTTTGTAATTAATCTCCATAACAATTTAGAAAATAAAGGCACTATCTATATTATGGACTATCCTGGAGGCGTTATTGCACGATTAACTAAAAAAGCACAATTAGAATCACCAATATATATTGAAGGAATTTGCGAGTTAATTTTATCAATAATTACAATGTTGGAATTGAAGGTAATGTTTAGTATTGAACTATGTATTCCTAATATATAGGTATTTATTTGCTTTTGGTATTTTTCCATATCTTGCAGAATGCAATCCGTGGGATTCTTAAAATAATTGAAAAAATAGAAGATGACGAATTAGAGGCCCAAGTTTTCCAGAAAAACAATTCAGGTGTTCAATTATCCCTTGTAGCAACAACACCAACTCCTAGAAGTTCACTTACAAAAAGAAAAAGTAAATAGAGCATTCTGTAAAACAAACAGTATTAAGAAGTAGTGTATAAATAAAACATACTTTTGCAATTATGATTGGAGTAACACACCAAATATTTACTTGCCGTCTTAGGCATTCTGGTTTTGGCTTTTATATTATGACAATTGCACAATGTTACTGAAATGGAATTGGAGTAGAGAGAAACCTACAACAAGCAAATGGATGGTATAAAAGATATCGAACAACATACGAATATTTAGATTCTTATAAAATATATCAATATTTTTCTATAGGTATTCTATCATTAATATTTTTAATTTAATTAAAATAAATTAGCTTTATTCTTGTCAATAGTAGTTTACGAATGCGCATCAGAAATATTAACATTGATAATAACTTGAAAAAAGTGTTGATAGAAATATAAAACTATTTGAAACAGGTGGATTCGCTATAGTGTATCTCGCGGAATGGTTTGACAAAAGTCACAGAAGTTTACAAATATATGTTGCGCGTAAATTACCCAAACCAGAAAATCAGGCAGGATTGTCAAAGAGATGAAAGCGTATTGTAAAATTGGAGAAATCATCCATCATTTTTAAAATTTTATGGAATATCAAAATATTCCAATAATAGATATGCTTTAGTTCTGGAAAATGCAAGCAAACAACCATTAAATAAAAATCTCGAAAAAGTGTTTAAAATGAATTGGAAAGGAAAAATTAAGTTATTACGTTGCACAAGATTTACATAGTGGAAATATTTTATAGAACGACATTGAAAATGCATATATCGCTGATCTAGGACTTGCCTCATATTCAAACAAAGTGAAGAAACCATAGGTTTTTTTTACCTTATCTTGCACCAGAAGTTTTAGAAAAAAGCAATTTTCACGCGCATTAGATATTTACTCTTTAGGAGTGATCATGACAGAAATAGCAAACGGACAAAGAGCACCTTACAAAATCATTGTAAAATCTGAATTCGTCGATGGAATTCCCAACTGTTATTTTCATTTGGCCGGTTGATGCATGGTCATAGATACGCAAAAACGACCTACTATCAACGAAATTTAGAATTTAATGGATGGATGGGACAAACTCAAAAGATTCAAACGATAACGAAATAAAAAAATCAAATTTTAGCATTAGGTAAAAACTATTTCGCAATTACAGATAAACATACAAAATTATGATAAAGACCTATATACAAGTAAATTTATAAGCGATGAAGAATGTAAAACCCAATTACAAAGTTTTAAATATAATTTATAAGTAATTAGACTTATAAGAAATTAAAATATATATGTTGAAGCTGTCCGAACCGATTTAAATAAAATCTAGATAACACCTTTATATTATACCAATCACGATAATAAATATAAATGTATATACTTTCTAAACTTATCATACATAAATCTGTAAAGTTGTTTTAAATTCGTTTTTTTCTTTTACGAATTGCCACGTAAAACTAATGTTACTATTGTTTTGGGAGAGCTTATAGAACTATCGGTACAATTTAACTACAATAGTTAACTTATATGTTCTTTGTATTAGAGCTACAGTAGTAAATAACTTGTACAATCATTATGATGATCACTTTGGGCACGTGAAATTATATAATTAATTAATGATCGGGGCACTTAATTGAAATACTGTATGTATTACAATCATTATGAATTTTAACAGTAAGAAATAACGAAACAATCAATAAAGATAAAATCGTATAACAATTGAGAATGCGATTCTTATTATAATTCCGTTTATAACTAAGACATCGAGTCTGAAACTTTATTGAAAGAGCGAAAAGGCAGCTCTTTTATACTTTTAAAATACACAATTTCGAAACAATCTTAGCTTCCACCTTTACATTAGTCCTATGGGTAGTCCTATCCCTTCTATTATATTTTTAACTAAGCCGGACTATTACATTTTTCTTTGGACTTGGTCTAAGCACTTCGTCTAGTTCTACTCTTAGGTCTAACCTTAGCTCTACATTACTCATTAGTTCTACTGTAACTACCTACTATAACAACAAGCAAATAAAAGAAATCTAAAGATAAAAAAATGACCTATGTGTTTAATACCCTGATGACTTATCATAACATAACCCAGTCACGGGTTGTTTCCAAAGGGAAAATCCGTGACACTACAATTCCATTATATACTATGTTCTAGCATAACATTCATTAGCATATTAAATAAATATGTATTAAAATTTTAAATTATTAGATTTTACAAACTTTTAAGTGAAGATAGCTCAATATTCTGTCCATTTTTGATATTTTCAAATTCTACATGTAAGTAGAATTCGAAAATGATATAAAACATAGAAACTGATCAGGTTAATACGTACTAAGAAAATGTCCACTATTAAAATTTGGATAATACGTAATAAAACTGAGTATCATATAATTTATAGCCAATTACAGGCTTGTATTTTGATAAATTTAGGAATTGTTTGAAACAATGAAAATATTTTGTTTATTACACACGAACGCGAATTTATATAATTTACAAAGGTTTATTATCACATCCTTTAGATAATTTGATTTTTTTTTTTAGTAAAAATGCTATGGCAAATAAATCCATGAAATCAAAATCACGTGACAATTATGTTAAAACAAAAAAACCAGGTTAAAAGACACTATGAATAACCTGCTACGGTTAACTATTAGTTAAAAAAATGTTGAGTTTGTCATTCAATTTAATAAACTTTTTACCGCAACTCAACTTTTTTTATAATTTATTATTGAGTATTCAAAAAGACCATTCAAGTAACTTCGTCATGCCCGGTAAAAAGCTTCGTTTGAATATTTCCATTACATCTTATTTTCTGTAAAGCTCCACGAAAGCATAGGTACGACTGGTCATGTCTGGACGAATGTCGGCTAGCCAAAGGTGCCGGAAATAAATTCAATTAAAGGACCTGAAGTCCGCAGAATACATTGTGAGTAATTTTAGCTAAGTAATTCGGACTGAAACGATGATATGCACCCAGAAAATTAGCAAGTGAGATTGCGCCAGGTATCATCGTAACAGTAGAACGAGCGATAAGCAGCATCAGCCGGTGGTTTCCCGCCTGCTCGAAGCAGGCCGGCTGTTAAATAGGAAAATGGCATAATCAGGAGACTACCATCTGTGGCGGGAAGGGTTAGGTCGAGAAACTTGTTTGTCTAAGACTATTGTGTTGAAGGGTCGAAAGTAATTTCTCGTCGATTCTTTATATATTGATTACGATCAGTAGCTTGTGATTACGTATTTCTTGCTTCTGCTTAGTAATTCATGCGATTTGGCGTTGATTGATCTCTTCTCTGATCTCGACCCATGCCCTTCGTTATGATCGTTTGGGTGCAGGGGTTGTAGCACGTGGCGTGTAACCCTGGCCAGACACCTGACCAGTGCTACCCTTTCTTTTGACCCTTGTCAACATGCAACATGATTTGACAGGTCCATCATTTTAATAAATGAGGATCTTCATATTGAAAATAACATTCGAGAAAACTTTGATTACGTCATAATTTGCATATTTGTATTTTACCAAAATTTTTTATAAATATAATCAATCATAAGGTTAACGTATAAAACTTTATTTACGCAATTCTTGAATATGTGCCAGGTTTGTGGTGTAGATTTCCTGAACTACGAATCGGATTTCAAGATCAGGCGTAACGTAAAGAATCAATAAAATTCAAAACAAACTCTCGTTTTGTCAAAAATCTGTTACTTTTCAAAAATCAGCATAAGAAATCACCTTTAATGCTCTACATTACGGCACGTTGGCGAAATTAAGCGAACAATTGGTCACCAAATCCAATCATTTGGTCACCAAATTTAGATTTTGGTCACCAAGTTATATATTAATCAATCAGTGTTAAACCCCGAATTAAAATGACACATCATAACTTGGAAATGGTGATTATCTCAGTAAAATCTATATTTACATATTTCCAAATTTTGGGTTATTTCGCAAATGCGCAGAAATGAATAAAAAGTTTCGTTGGGCAATTTTACTATGTAAATTACTCCCAACACTGACCCTAACTCTAACATAAACGGGTATGAAAAAATTCTGTGTCGATCATTGTACAAATTATATTTCACGAATCATGTGTAACGTAACACGATCGGGAAAGTCAAAACAAACGTTTTGTTTGTCAAAAATTGCATATTTCTAAAAAACCACATACAGAACCACTCTTAGCGCTCTAACAAAAAGTTTTCCTTGAACAATTTACTATATAATCACTCAGTATTTAGGTTTATTCTAAACACTAATGCTACTGTTAATGAACTTTAAAAAATTTTATTTCGCACAATGATTATTATAAACGGATTTTAAAGAATTTTTGCTGCGTCACAAACCTGGCGAACATTCAAGAATTGCTTTATTTACGCTTTCATACAAAGCTTATTACTCTTTCTACTGGAAACCCATAGAAAGATTGGCTGTTTAAATCATTAATTTTTTTTTAATTTTACATTATTTATACAGTTTAAAGTACTTTTTTAAAAAAAATAAAACTACGAAGAATAAACAAAAAAGATGCATATAAAAGGTTTTATTAAAGTTGTAGGACTCAACCATTAAAATAATCTGGTTTTAGAGAAGTTAGAATAGTAGCAACTTTCTTAAAGATGGATAGAATTAGGTTATAACCATGCTAACTTCTCTAAAACAAAAAGAAATTATTTTTTATAGTGGAGTCCTACAACCCCAATAAAACTTTCTATATACTTCATTTTTGTTTATTATTAGTAGTTTAAAAAGTACTTTAAACTGTATAAATAATGTAAAATTAATTTGATTTAAGCAGTCAATCATACGAAAGTCTTTTTATGGACTGATGACTGCATCATGTGATTAACCCCTTCTGTTCCCATATGGGCCAATTTTGACTGATTTGAGTAATATAAAAATGTGATATCTTAAATGGTTACACTAACCCAATAATCATAACTGATAATATGTCTTTATTCAAACCTTTTTTTTTGTTCTTTATGTTTTAAAATGTATTTAATAAAAGAATCTCTGTTTTCTCGTAAAGCAAAAAAAACATTTACACAATTATGTTGTACCCCATAGTTCTGGGTTTGAACTTTCTTTAAGTTGATGTTTGTGCCAATTTCAGTCAGTTTTTCTTGTGAATATGAAGCTCTATCTTCATACTCATTGCTCAGCCCAAGGCTTTAAACACTATACACTGTCTCAAAAATTTTTTTTATGTATTTTATCATGAATCAAGTTTTGAATATTAGTCAGCCTGGCAAAAATACAACTATACATATAAAGGAAAAGATGAGTACCAAAGAATTAGTTATATTTTTGCATATCCTGATTAGAGTAAAAAAAAAATAAAAACAGAAAGTAAAGTTAGTGTAATAATTGAAAAAAAGACTTTGAAACATAACAAATAATTGAAGTTGAGTTTGGATTCTTTTAGAAAAAATAAACAACTAAAGAAACTTATAATAAAGAGAGTTATACATAGACTTATGAACTTTTAAAATTTATATAAACAAAATGTAATTGTAATTTAAATTTTATTTAAAATTTACAAT